TGCAAGCTTGAATTTCAGTTGTGCACTCCCGAGAGGGACTTCTGAACTCAAGAGCGGTAATACCGTCCGGTAACGTCACGACCCAAAAGCCGGGTAGAGCGTTTGGTTGGTTAAATATTCGCATAATTATGTGTCATTAAATACAGCACGGACTGTCATTTGAAATCAACCAAGCCTTGTTAAGGCTGCCTCCATATGATCGCCATGATCACTGCCATCGCTGCAAAAACGTTCGGCAATCGTTCCGATCATATGGAAACTACTCTCCAGTGATCGTAGGACATCGTAGTTATCGACCTCAGTTACTTCTATCTCGACGATTGTAGCAATCACATGGAAACTGAACTTAGTCATCGCTCAACCTTTTCTGTAGCGATCGATCATATGGTAACCAGGGTTAGTGATCAAATTTCGAAAAGTTATCCAAAACAGGAAATTGAAATGTATTAGTTAGCTACTTCTAATCTGCACCTTTTTTAATTTACCTACGGATTCAGATTCAACATGGAAAACCGACATGCAGTGACTGTCCCAGTGATAACACAAAGATCATGTGGAGAGCTAACATTATGAACAATCAGATGTCAGCAGCAAAAGCAATTCCGCTTGACACCTTTGGTCCAGTACATGAGGCATCGTGCTGCTTCTTGTTACATATTCTAAAGAGCAAAAAAAAAAATGAAGCTATAATATTGAAACTGATATTTCCTTCAGGACATAAAAGAATTGGTTTTATACTGAGTGGGTTAACTTATATAATTCCACAGCAGACAATGGTATAGATAATCGACCGGAGAAAGATAAATACAGAAAACACCATACTTACATGTATATTTGATGAACAAAACGAATTCTGATATTCAAATGAGTCATTCGGTAGCTGTCAGATTACAGAAAGCCAAACTCAGCGATGACTGGGGTTTCCGAGTCGATTCAGTTATTGTTATTTAAGTGGTTTTTAGTTTTACTTCCTAGCCCTTTATCATTAAAGATAACTAATAGAGTCCGTTTATATGGAGGAAGGAGAATCCTATCACCAGACAGATCGTCGAAAGGGGATCATCCTAGTGCCATGTTTTCTATATTCAGTTTACATGCAAAACGTTGAACTTTGTCCTAACACCATATCAACTATCTTTGCTTGAAAGATTCTTGTATTATAGGGACTGCGAACTGGACAAACAATAACTGGTTTTTATTGTTAACATCTTTTCAGGTAATATTTGATGTTCTCCCAAAGTGTACATTAACTCATCGCAAAGGTTTAGTAAAACGATGCACTGCTCTTAAATAGACATGTGAAAGGAATAATTTTTTTAATAAAAGGTACACGAAAGGAGTAGCTTTTCTGTCAAAATGGTATACAAAACGGTAAACGGTTGCGCCTCCAGGCAGAACCTTCCAGTATACAACTAGGCCTCAATTATATGATCTCGGGTACCCGAGACAACCCTCCCCCTATGTCAACTTTATCGAGCGTTTATATGTGAAAACGTTGTCTCTTTAGTCCGAGTCAAAGTTGACCCTGCATGATTATCCATAACCCTTATTGAATGATCAAATGTGCAAATATCCCTCTTTCTTTGTTTTCCTCGGTCACTCGATCAATGTAGGTTTCGCGGAGTTAATTTTGACTTCTTTGATACAAATTTCTGCTTTAAATCCTAACTCTAGACATCATGAAACTCGCCACGCCGAGAACTGACTCGGTTTGGCGAGCCAAAGTGTTTATATAAAGAAAAGTTGTCCCGCTTGCCAGAGTAACCCTACCTGCCGAGGCT